ATTTTAGTATTTTTATCATTTTTATGTAATTATCTTAACGCTCATGCGCAGTGATAACTTCGAAGAGAAAGGGTTAAAATTTTCATCTAATAAAACATACAATCGAACTTAATTAATATTCAAAATACGTTAATATGTATGTAATGTTTAAATAAATGTATATGCGTTAAAACAATCTTAAATATAATTAGAGTGTATTAGAATATTAAAATAATTGTTAATTATTCGATAGTAATGTCTATTGTTGTTTAAGAGCTCGAAGAATATGATTTACGTACCGTCCTCCTCGGGATCCCCCTTCCGACTGGCCCGTTGTCCTCTGTGAATGTTCTTTTATTCAATGTTGTTTTCCTGACTTTCCGTAATGTATAACTTCTTTCTATTTTGAATATTCCTTATGTTATACATATATAACCTTCGGAAAACAACTTTGAATAAAAGAACTTTCACAGAGGACAATGAACCAGTCTAACGACGGATTTCGAAGAGGATGGTGCTCCTTACTTGTGCTCCGTGCTTCTTCATTAGAATATTCATTTTTTTCGATTAATTAACAATTAATTAAGGTATGTCGAACATTTTAATATACTCTGTTAATATTTTAAATTGTTTTAACGTTCCTGTCTAGTGACCACTTTAAGTTTTTTATTTACATGTAATAAAATATCTGATCGTTTTTTATTCGAAGTATATTAATAATTATGTAATTTTTAAACAAATTTAGTTTATATTATTCTCACTTTAATGGGTATACCGATCCTGATATATTAAAAAACATTTTAATAATAGTAAAAACATGGGATGACTAATATATATGTTTTACTTTATGTATTTAAAAAAAATATTCGATCATTATTTTATATTCATCATTTATAGGAATAATTTATATTTGACATTTTTTAATGATCTCTTTGTAGGTAATTGAAAATACGATATTAGAAATTTGGTATATAATTTAACGTTTAATTGACTTCGTTTTCGAAATATTTTTTTCGATGAATCTGTTTGTTTACTTCAAAGTTAATTAAGATCTAGGCTATTGTTATACTAATCATTTCTTTTGCAATTAATTGAGTTAATTTTCTGTAAAAAGATAACTCTCGACAGTTATCATTTATAAAGTGAAAAAAAACTTGTTCTTACCGATACATTTATTTTATTTTTTTACGGATAAGATATTCAATATATAATATTATTATGAATAAACAATTAACATAATATTTATTTCGCGAAGAGATAATTTATAAATGTTGTTAACGAAGTTGTTTCAGTTTTTGAATAATTATTTTAATTGAAAAGACAACATAAAAAATTGTAATCATCTTTGTCAATTGCTGTAGCTTTTTTTTTTTTCTTTTTTTCTTTTTTTCTTTTTATTTCAAACTCAACGTGATTTTCTCTCAACTTCAGATTGATAAGATCGATAAGAATTAATTGTGTAACATTCTTTGACTCTCATATCTGCTATCTAAAAAATATTAAACCGATAAGGAAGACAATAAAGTTGGAAGGTAATAAAAATAAGAAAAATGTATAAAATTGTATAAAATTGTTTACACTTCCTTCGTTAAAAAAAGAAGATCAACGAAAACAGACAGGCCATATTATTTGCTCGAACATTTATTTCTTTAATTAATATTATTTGCAGATATTTCATAAAGAATACTATTATCAAAATACATAAATTATCAAAATTAATTGTTATTGTAAAAGATAATTTAATTCTAATCATTGTCATAGAAAAATATTTTAGTAATAATTCAAACGTGCTCTTGTCCAGTACTTATAGAATCTGAAATTTTAAATATTTTTCAAAATAGACAAAACAACGCGATTACAAACACAGTTATATTCACAGTAACTGGTGAAATTCTATTAACTTTTTAGATTTAAAGCAAAATTGGATATCGGTAAACGCGACTAACGGAATATTAATATCTGTGCTAAAAAAAAAGAAGAAAAAAAAGAAATTTCTATCTCATACAACCTAATATTCATGTATCGCTGAATCTTCTCAAACGAAACTTTTTCTTCGATTTATCTAAATAATCAACAAATTAGTGAAAAAAGATACCAAAGACTGAATAAATAAACAGTGACCAAACGAGGTTGGTCCGATAATATGTTATGCAATGATTCATTGATCTCTGATGTAACAAATACGTATATAAATAAAAATCTAAAAGCAAGTAAGAAAACGAGAGGTGGTAATAGAAAGAAACGATTGAAAAAGGGGTATTGGAGAAGAAACAAGTAGAGGGAAAAAAAAGATACAGCCACGAGACCGCACGTGACGAGTATGCATCTTCTCCTCTTTGTCTTCTTCTTGCACATGTTCGGATATAATACTTCTTTCTCTACCTACTCTCTTTTTCCCTCTTTTTAAGATCAGTTTCATGCGGAGGAAGCGTGACCACGAAAACGAGAAATCAAAAGGCCTTTGCACCGAGGCAAAAGCTTTTTTTCCTTTTATTTTTTTTCTCTCTCTCTCTCTTATCTTCCACTCGTTCCATTTATTTATCTTTATTTGTATTTTTATTTGTAAATTTTTTCTACGTTGTATCTTTAATACTCTTGTCTCGCTCGTTTAGATTTATATCTTTTGTTTTATTTCTTTTTAACCCAACCCCACCCCACACCCCCACCGCTTCTTTACTTATTCTCTTATGTTAAATATGAAATTTTGCGATGGCTCCTCCACGCGTTTGAATCGAAGCAAATAAAAATTACGCGATAGATCGAGTTTTTTTTTTTTTTACGAAATTTCGTTGCATAATTGGAGACATTTGTCGTCGAATAAACATTTGTACATTTGCATAATTCGGTAAATTTATAAAATTGTGAAGGAAATGTAATGTAATCCCTTAAATCAATAAAGAAGGTCCTATCTCAAGATTAGATAACCTTCGCTTGGAAAATCATAAAACGAAAAATCACATTTTCATGTCTCCGGGTTCATAGGGGTGCATGCAGTATAGGCAGGTGTTGAAACACAAAATTTCCATGAATATTTTTCTTATATTTGAGATTAAAATTTTGATTTCATGATTAAGCTATTCGCCTTTAAAATTTAGTTTTCGAGAAATTTAGAAAACTGGTTTCTAAAAAAAGAGGTCGATTTGTGAAAAAGATACATTCAAACATAATTGCTTAAGAGTATTTATGATACGTCGAAATCTTTTCTATTTTATGTTTCTATCTTCCCACGATACACACATATGTGCATATTAATTCACATAAACTTACACTCACTCGTTCACATATATTTGTATTTCCGCGTAGAAGAAATAGAAAAAATAATTCGCCTAACTCAATAAGATTTCAAATAAAATTGTATGTTTTAACTTTAGTTTTTTTCAGACAAATACATATATATATATATTTTGCACGCAAACGGCACGAATAATATTTAGGTTCAAAGGTTACAACTGATCGAAAAATGTGTTTTACATTTGCAATATATTTGCAATTAGAATGCACCTGCATGACGTCATTTAGATAATAAAAAACACGCTTATTAATCCAGATTTTTATAACAGTTTTAATAACTTAATTAAAAGAAAATCTTATCAAGTTAATAAATAAAAGGTGATCTATTATTTGTTTTATAATTTACAAGTATAATTGTTTAATCGTGTAAAAGCGTCGTTCTAAATTTATTTAATTAAACAATACCGTAATTCTAATCTTTAGTTTAAAAAAGATTAACTTTAAACTTCTACACACTTGTTCGTACACCTGTTCTTTTATTATCAATTAATCCGATCGATCAAATATTTTGAACAAGTATTTGAACATCTTTAATCTTTTCGACCATTTTTTCGCGAAACAATAAAATAATCTAAATACGATAATCTATTTTAAAATCGATCAAGATACGAAGTAGATATAAATATTGTAGGAATAAAATAGATTTAAAAATTAGAGCAATTTACTAGATTAGTTTGACATGATTCTAAATTTTTCCGATTAAATAATATCACGAATTCGATCTCTAATTTAAAAAATGATATATTTTTATTTAATGTAAGACACAGATATCAATTCGAATATTTACGAAATTAATAGTAATTAAATGGAAAAATCAATATTGACGAATAAAATATCTTTTTTCGATCGATATTAAATGTTTCTATCAAATACCTGAACTGCTAATCGATATAATTTCTTGAATTCCGATGAATCATTGGAATGAACTAAAGTCGACGATCTCAAAATCTATTTAAAGAATATTCAAGATAAAAACTGAAAGAAAAGGATAGAACGTAAAACAATGTATGATATTTATCGAGAGTGCAACGTGTGCATACGTGACCGAAGACTCGTAGTTGTTGCCTCTTTGATGGCCCTTCGAGTTAAATTGAGTTTAATCCTTGAAAAATCAGGGACGCGTGTTTCGGTCGATTCCTACGAGTTCGTCGACGTTCGAGATACAATCTCGACCAATCAGCGTTCGTTTTATAACATTTCTCTTTCTCGATCAGTAAAAAGTTTGTATTTCCGACACTTGATGGCGCTTGTGTCGTCCCCCTCGCTTTAACCATTCCTCTCTTTACCCATTTCCGTAGTTGCGTGCGTCGTTTAGTTCGAAGCAGTCATTGTTTGTATTTAGTCGTGGTTACAACCGGTAGTGCCTTTCATTCGAGTTTACCGGATGATCGAAGAAACAACAAGTTTTTCAATAAATCGAAGGAACAAACAGACGACTGGCATTATTTTATTTTCATTTTTTTTTTCTATAGAATATGGCAATAATATTTCGACCATATTCAATAATATTCAATCTTTATAAGGAATACATCTAAACCAGGAAGAAAACTTTGCCAAGGTATTTATTACAAATATTTGTATATAATCATATAGAAAAGATAATGAATTAGGAAATATAAAATATTCTATGAGAAATTATACATCAGTAGAAATGATGTAATACAAATGTATAGTCATTAGAGAGAAAGAGGATAGAAGAAGAGGAGCAGAAAATTTCTGTATAGAAGTTTCCAGCGTTCAGTTAATTAATGTAGTATTATATACATACATATACTACAGTCATTGCCTACTTACTTTCCCTGCTTCATGATTTTTTATTATATCAATTGACCACCCTAACTAGAAGTTTCGACATTGTAGAGTCTAATTTGTCTCGTGAGAAATGACGTTAAACAATATTCGTTCGAACGGGGTCGATCGAAACGTTATTTACTGTGTCTCCAGTGCCGTATCATCGAAATTCGAGTACCTTATATTTTCCAAATATTTTTTTTTTGTTTGTTTTCTTTTTCTTGAGAAAACAAACAACAAAGTTTGAAGTACAAGAACGTTTGTTTTTAGGTTTACAAATATAAATAGCGATGATAAATATTTTATATGGGTTTTTTTTTTATTTTTTACAATATAATATAAACGTTCATATTTAATTTCATTTTTTTTATTTAATTTTTCGAGCGTATAAAAAATAAAATTTGAAATATTATAACTATTGGACTTTGGATATCGCCTCTGAGTTATTCGTAATTATTATTTTTTTTTAAACAAATAATAAAGTCGATAGTATCGGGAACGTTTGTAGAAATTGAATATATTTTACATTTTATTATCACGTTTCTTTTTTTTTTTTTTTTAATTTTTTTACTTTTTTTACGTTCATGTATAAAATTATTTATGAATTTTGGATTCGAACTTTTCAACTGTGTTACCTTGATCACGAAAAATACGATAAATAAAAAAGTTTGACATAACACACCATATAACGGATAATTCCGTCTCGTTTATATAAATCGTATGTTACTGGTATGCTGTTATGGAGCCAGTCAATTCCGAAGGGGGATTTCGCATGTAGGTAACATGCTACGTATAATATACACATACACACGCACACACACAACATTTCTGAGATAGATAAAAAGTGCGTAACTATTGCGACGTAGGTAGAAGTCTCGGTAATTGCTGAGAAAGATTATAGAAGTAAACATAATCAGGTTTATAATTGATTTTCTAGTTTTTCTACAAATTACACTCTCAGTAATAAACATACTGTTATTTTTTACTCTTTTACGTATTATATGTTGATCGTTTAAAAAGAAACTTCGAATTTATAACATCGTTGTTCTTCTTTTTCTCATTTAATTTTATTGTCTTCTATTCTATCTATCTTTTTCTCTCTCTCTCTCTCTCTCTCTCTCTCTCTCTCTCTCTCTCTCTCTCTTTCCGATGAAATTTGTATTTATTGTTAATTTGTATTTGATGTTATTCTATCTTTCAAAATTATTTTCTATTTTCATGATATATTTCAAACGGTATGGAACGCTACGAATGTCTCTACATTTTATCTCTTTTATTTAAAATTGAAAATGTTCAACAAGGATTGCGAATTAAATGCAAATTATATATGTATTTGCGAATGAAAAACGATTTATCACTTGAGGTTAACGGATTCAACGGATAGGCTATCGAAGCTTGACGGTTCTTTTTATTTTATTTTATTTTATCTTATTTTATATATCGGTAAAGATCGTTCGCAATCCGCGAGGTTAACAGCAAATCTTTTCAAAATTTATTTCTAAGTTTTTAATCACATGATTGTTATATCTTTGATCTTTGCTCCTGACATTTACCCTTATCTCCAACCTGTTGTTTTAATAATTGAAAATGCTAAAACCAATGTTATTTTTAATTTTGTTTAGAAAAAGAAAAAAGAATTGCGGATATATCATCGTAATTTAATGTAAAAAGGACTTTGAAGTAAAGAGACTTATCTAATAACATTGAGTTCAGATCAGATCGAATTCAAAGAATTAAGAAGAAATAGAAGAAGAAAAAGAAGAAGAAGAAGAAGAAGAAGGGGTGGTGGTGAAGAGAAGAGAAGAGGATAAAGAAAAACAGATTTCCTTGATCTTTGCCCATATACGTGAAACAAGAATGGCAAACGTTTCGGGAATTACTAAGGAGGAAACAACTATCATAAAAGGGAAACCAGCAACCCTCGTACGACGAGTTTCCAACATGCTTAAAGGTAAATAGAACAAAAGATGGAATACAAAGAAAAAAGAATAAAAAAAAGAAAAAGAAAACTTTAGCCTTCAGATCGTTCATAAAATCCACTTGTTTTGTAAAAACGTATTAATATTTTATTATCGAACCGAGTTATCGCAAAAATTGACGTATCGCTGCAAATGTGATGTAACCGCGAGTATTTTCATCAACTCATTTATCTTTTTCGCATATACCCACCTCTCTCCTATCTCGGCTTGTTCATTTTTCCTTTCAATCTTTCTTTCTTTATTTCTTTCATTATTTCTTTCATTATTAATTTTATTTGTCTTTTTTTTTGTCTTTTTTTACAGATGGAAATTATAGCGGACCACCGTTACTCTTTAGAAACGCATCGATGCAAAAACTCCGCCATTGCTGCCAGAATTTGAATCTTTTTCCGTATCTGCTTTACTCGTACGATAATTCGAAGTCCCATCCGGTTGCAAAAAGGGTGAATGTATGTATCGGCGAATTGGTACGAAGCCTCGTTAAACGATTCTTATATTTTTACAAGTTTATACGATATACAACTTTGTATAACGACAATAACAGCAATAAGGATAGCAACGTTATTGCTAAAAAGATTTCAATTGAATCGAAAAAAGATAAAACTAAGGAACTTGGGCTAGTAGACGATGAACGAAAATCAATAAACAAATTCCAATGTTTCCAACGTCAGAGACGAAATCAAATCTCGATCTTCCTTACAATTGCTATTTATCTAATACCATTGATATTAGCCTTGCAAATGGCTGTACTTTATTCGTTATTGATATTAGAAAAGTACACGCCTGGTTTCGTTTTCCTCGTTAGCGCTCTCATGTTCTCGGCCGGCATCGCATTTAGAATTTTCTTTCACGAGAGTAAAAGCAAAAAATATTCAAGAAACAATTCAATAGATAATAAAAATAATAGGATTATCAAGGGGAAAAAAATTCAGTGATATACTTTTAAGAATTATAAAATGATTCATTTAAACAAATAGATATTACTATGCTGTACGGCCAAAACCTTCGTCAGACGGTGAAACGATTGAAGAATATCAACGACTAGACAGACTCTCGAAGGTCTTGGCCATTTTTGACTCGAAACGAAGCTTAGACGGTTCGAATACAATAAGGAGAAAGAAAGAGAAAAACACGCATAAAGTAGATAGATAGGTATTAAATATAGATTGATGAATACGCAGAATAAGTGGTTCCTCTTAATGAGAAAATTAACGCTGAGAATTTCTTATATTCGTATTTTAAATTTATCTTTCTAACTTTCACCAACACGTACTATCGCATTTCGTTAATTTCTTTTTTATGCAAAACGTATGTATATATGTATATTGGGTTTTTTCGCCTAATTCGACTACCAAAAATATTCTATTCGAAGGCGCCGTTATAACGAAAGGTCGAATTTCTTTTCTATAAAATGGAACTGAATATTTATATTAGAATATTCTTATAATTTATAAAAATAACGAATCCAACGATGAACAACATATTGACCATTAAGTGACCTTCTCCGAGAAAATTGTGAAATGTTTATCAGGAATTCTAATCAAATGCAAATCAACGTATAAGACACACTCATACAAGCAAAAATTCTTCTCATGTACAAAGGAAACCATTTTTCAAATTTCTCGACAAAGATCATCTGATGGTCCGATGTCGTACATCATTGGATTTATTTTTTTATAAGCTATAAGAATATTTTAGTATAAATATGCAGATTTTGAAAAAAATTCGTCTTTTCACTATATCGGCGCCTTCTAATAGAATATTTTTTTTCCTCTGACATTTTATTCTATCTTACGAAATAAATGAGATATGTTAAATGGTCGAGTTAGACGAAAAAAATATCCTGTATCATAGATATATTATATATAATATATATACTTATACGTAATTTATATAATATGTATATATTTGTATATAATATATGTTTCTATATATATATATATACACACATAATTATAGAAATTCTTTTTTCGAATGTTTGCGCTTTAAGCTGATAGTTAAAATCAGTGATTGAGCCGTACAATTGGCCTTAAGAACTCAAATAATTAATAATTAAGTCTTTCTTTAATATCATTTATATCATTCTTACTTTAATCTTTCTTTTCTTCCTTCTTTGTACTTTAGATCAAACGGACTTGCTACGTGTGCAAGCCGTTATGCATCGTTAGAGAATAGATCAGCGTTATATATTTATTAAATATATTATATACATATATTATATACATATATTATATAAATGTATAGATTTAAATCGTGCAACTGCGACTTCGTTAGATTAATTAATTTCGCCAAAGCAATTTTTTCTTTGACAAATTTCAATCGATTGTCGCGTCAAATATTGTCGGATTAATTTTGAATTAGTCTCGCCACATATATACGTATGTACGTACCCATTTATTATTTACTATACTTTAGCGTTTAAATCCGCGTTCATCGATATTATTATATTAATTAAGAGAACTATCTAATCCTCTATGCTGCATAAGACTGACAACAATTGTTTTAACGTATAATGTTTATGTAAATATAATATTTAAAAAAAAAAAAAAAAAGAAAATATTTAAGGGAAATGAGATGAAAATATAATCGAAGTGGATAATAATAAAAAAGAAAAAAAAAGAATAGGAAAGATAGAATTTATATTGTATATAAGGAATTTTTGATAGAGTTCCTTAAATATAGAATTTATGCGAAAGCTTCAAAAATTCATAAAGAAGGAAGAAAGAGAGTTTTGAAGATTCACTACCCGAAGAAGGGTTCATTAATGGAACTGTGATGGAGTAGATACGATTGTATCTGTTAGGAGAGCTTCTAGTAATACTTAAATTGAATACAATAAAAATAGATATTAGTAATATTAATAAGTATAAGTGTATGTGGATCTATGCATATATTTATAAATAAGATTTGTGTATATATATATATGTATGTGTATATCCACATATGTACACACTCGTATATAATAAAATTCTTTTTAAATATACCCTTTTTTCTATGGTTGAACAATTTTTAATGTTAAATTTGAAGTAAGAATTTATAAATAAAATACTGTAGAGGTTTACTTTTTATCCTTTGCACAAAGTTAACATAGTTGTAATACCTAACAGGATTGATATTACGAGTACAGTGTAATGAAGATTAATTTGTTCGCTACCGTTCGCATAATTTTTTAGATCAGCAGCATACCTTATTACGTGGGCAACGTAATTTTGCTCATGAACGCTATGGAATAGATGCGCGGATGGACCTAAAACAATAAAATTGTATATAATCATTTGTATTAAGTAGATTTTACGAATATGACAATTGAATTATTTGAGTTCAATACCAATAGCATAAACTGCAACGTCTCCTCCTCCATGATAAGCTTCGTCGGATACGATAGCAGCTTGTTGACTATAATTGAACGCTGTGGTGTCATAAGTAGACGGATCGATTCTTGTTAAATGTTTAGTACTGTTTATCGTATAAGCTGCATTATTTGGACCTCCGGTACTGTATGTTAAAGTCGTGTAGGGTATTTTATCGTGTCTAGATTTTTGAGCAATACCTGAGAGACACAAAAGAGAATAATTTTTTATATTTATTAAATCAAATCAAATGAAATGAAATTGTTAATAAGAAAGAAATGTTCATATCCAACCTAGAATCGATGTACCACGATCGCTATAACCATTGAAGCTCATAGAATGACCATGATCGCTAGTTACAATAACTAAAGTTTCTTTCGTGTCGATCATGTTAATAGTAGCATTAATTGCGTCAGAAAATCTTACGGTTTCTAGCAAAGCTTGGGCAGCATGGCCACGATGATGAGCGAAATCAATCAATCCTCCTTCGACCTGAAAGTATGATTACTGAAAATTACTGTTTATTTTAACAAGATGATTAATACTTTTCAAACGTACCACCAATACGTAACCATTTTTTGATTTATTGAGAACCTTCAACGCAGTCACGGTCATTTCTTCCAAACTTGGTTGCCCTTCTGGACCTTTTTCTCTTTCCCAATCCATTTTAATATGACCATTGGCAAATATACCAAACAAATATTCAACCTTCTCGGTATCAACCATTGACAATTGTTCATTATTCTCGACTACTTTGAAGGCAATCTTTCTTTCTTGTTTATCCTTTGCCCAATCTCTTATTAAATCCCGACCATCTGTACTATAACAAGCCCACGTGTCAATCGGATCGTATTTACCAGACTTAACGTTAGATCTCAAGGTTTGCCTACCGCCACCCATTATCACCTATACGAACGAGCAAATTGATGTTCATTACTTAACATTTACTCGAAGAGACTAGGATGATTAATCTACCTTGATGTCTCTACCAGGCTTGTTCTCAACGAGTTGTCTTGCAATATCCTTGCAAGCGGTCATATTTTTAGGCATCTTTGCCTCGCATTCCCATCTTCGATTTGGACAATGTGCATACAGAGGTGCTGGTGTTGCATGGGTTACTCTTGTCGTTGTTACAAATCCTTTAGGAATTAAATAGATAATGTTAAATAAAGATGACACAATTTTAAAATACGAGCAAACAAAATCCTTATAAACGTCTCATCGGTTTTGCTTAGTTCTCTCAACCACTAACCTGTAGCTTTGCCCGAAGCTTGTGCCAATGCAATAATGGATTCAACATGATAACTTGTATTCAAGCTAGCCTCGCAATCTCCCAATTTGACATTAACGTCGACACCTACAACTTCGTAATTGGTTTTAACTCCGCCAAATAATGCGGTAGCTGTGGACGCCGAATCTGGTACTTGTTTATTCGTATTGTACGTCTAAATTTTTTCGAAGAAATGATAAAAACAAAAAGAACCTATCTTATTGTTTCAATCATATTATTGTTTTTTAAATAAAAATCGTGTAATCTAAACGATCGAACATTCTTACGCTACCTTGAGTAAACCAATGTGTGGAAATTTTTCCCAAGCGAGATTACTCGTTTCACCAGCTCGATAAATTCTACTGGCTGTTATGGTATCGGGACTCATGCCATCTCCGACAAATATTATCACGTTTTTCGCTTTACCTGTATTCCAACGATATAAAAGAGATTTTTCTAATTCGTTTTGTGCTATTCTATGCCAATATTGACTGTCTGCAAACCGAAAACAAGATGACGAAAGTAAATATATAGAGTACGAATATCAATCACAACCGGATAGGGGATGATTGTTATAAGGGACAAAATATAACAAAAATTTGCTATAGCATTTCGTTATGCGTAGATACGTTTTCGAGAAAATTAATTTGCAAGTGTGAATAATTGAATATGATAATTTGATTTGTCGTTATACCACACGGCTATTTTTGTACGAGCTAGTTTTGATAAACATTGTCAGTGATAAGAAAAGATATTGTCTTTTATTGTCTACCATAGCTTTACATTATTACTTTACGAGTATTGCTAAAAGTATCTTCTATAAAATTGTCTTTCTTCCAAAGTAAGAAACAAATTATTATTATTATTATTATTATTATATTATTATTATTTCTGTGACAATTTTTTCAATACGTTCGTCATAGATGTTTACTAATCCTAACTCGCATAAAAATAGTCAACAAATAAATTACGTCCTACCGGTTGTATTATGATTATCGTCTTCTGACGCATGTAATTTAAAAAAAAAATGTTATTTTTCTTTCTTTTTCTTTTTATTATTAATCCACCATCGGTGGTCATCAATGACTAGAAAAGAAGAACAAGCTATATTGCAAAAGGATAGTTAAGACTATAACCGCAGGATGGCTGGACATATAATCTGTCTTATTGTGCGAGTTTTTCTGCTATGTAATTCAAGAGTGTGTACGTTGGAACACGAATAGAAAGCAAAAAGAATTTTACAAAATGTATTTCATTTTTGTAAAACCAGTTGAGAGATTGTGTTAGTTCGAGAGATACCTTCTATAATCGTAGCGGTTATAATACTGGAAAGTAGAAGTACAATGAACTGTAGATACACCTGCATTATTAATTCTCTTCTTATCTTGTATCCTTTTATTATCTTATATATATTCAAACAGATCTTTCTCAAGCGAATGAACAAACTCGACTGCCACGAGTATCTATGTACGATCAATGTACATTCTATTGAAACGAAATTTGACTAGAAAAAAAAAAAAGAAACAAAAGTTATATAATTTACGTCGATAATGAAGATCTTAATTATATCGATGATCGGTATAATAATTCAAATTCTGCAAAATGAGGAAAAAAAAAAAACAAAAAATGAAAGAAAAAGCATTCTCAACAAAATTGCATCGTATAACGTTTTATTTGATTTTTCTCTTCGATATTCCATCATTCGTACATACAAGATCATAACAGGTCGCTTTAAGCACGAGATGGGATAGTCATTATTTTTTCTTTTTTTTTTTTTTTTTTTATAATTTCTATCGCCTGGCTTATTTGGTTTTTTTTTTTTTTTCTTATCCTCATTCACCTGTACCGTCCGTTGTTAAACAAAACTACTAAAAATAAACTCGATAAAATTCAACAGGCCACAAACCCTTTGGACCTTTTATTTTTTATCGAGCACGGGCCCTTAAAGACCAAAACTTACGGTTGCTTATCCTACTTTTTGAAAAAGAACGAGTCTCGCCTCTAATATATTCCTATAAAGCGCGCAGTAGAAAAACCAAAAATGCTACACGTTTTCTAGCCCCTTTTTTTTAGCGCTTATACGACTACGATATAAATGTTCTTCCTTTCTCTCTTTCTCTTTCTCTTTCTCTCTCTCTCTCTCTCTCTCTCTCTTTCCCTCTTTCTTTTTTATCTTTCTGGTTTATAGTTTATTTATATTGGTATTATCCATTATCAGTATTATCATCATTACCATCGTCGTTATGACTAATCTTTATTTTTATTAATAACTTTATTAATAATTATTATTATTACTATTATTATTATACTATTATCATTATTATTATTATTATTATTATTATTATTAGTATTATTATAATTATGTCGCGTTTCGAACGTAGCGACGTTTCTTTTTAATATCATTAATTTTTTCAAATCAACTCCCGCCAAAATCGAGAAGCACCGAAACCTTGCTCTTCGTATAAGATTTAAGTATTATACACGTATAATATATAAGTAATATCTTTTTTCCTTTTCTAACTAAATTCAAAGACTAAGAACTTGGAATTTGTTAAAAGTTTCTTAATTTTTTTATTTCTTTTATTGTGTATTTTTTTTCTTCTTCTTTTAAATTACTTTTTGATTTGCTTACGATTTGCTCATTTTAATTTTGGTTTTCTTTATTTATCTTTTTCCTGTCTATGAGAGTTCCCTTGGCTATTTCTTGTGTTTTTCTTTTTTCTTTTCTTTCTTTTTTTATTTCTTTTTCTGTAAAAAAACCAAAAAAAAACGAGGAATTAAATTTTTCAACGAGACTCTCGCGTTTCTAATAGTATATCGAATCGTCAGTAAAAAATAGCATGTAAATATTTAAATACTGTCCCTGTTTCTTTTTCTATTTCTTTCTTTCTTTATCTATCTCTTTCTCTCTCTCTCTTTTTCTCTATTTTTTCTATTTTCTACAATAGAAGGCAACTACCCCGTCGCCGTTACTTCGAACGCATACATACGTACATTTACATATATATATACTTGTACATATACAACACACATGTACATATCTATTTATATGTACTCTATAAAAAAATAAACTTGTTGGAGCTTCGTAAATCGATCCGCTTCGAAATTCGAGTTTAACCATTTTGAAATTCGCTAAACCAACGTATTTTATATCCTTTTTTTCGTAATACTTTTAGAATTGAAGACGATTCGCGTAAAAGGTTTCAGATTTTTGTTCATCCTTTCTACACGAATGTGAAAAAAGAGGATAATATATAATAAATATTTATTATTTAAATATTGTATCTATACAATATATAGAGATCGACCAACGAAGCTTCCAACAATTTTGTTCAAAAATCGTTACGCGTATATATTACGTGTACGTTAAGTTTTATTTGTCAATTAATTAATTAATTAATTAATTAATTAATTCATCTTTTTCTCTTTTTTATTCTTAAAGAGAAAAAAAAAAGAAAATAAATAAATAAAACTCGCTATCCTCTCTCTCTCTCTCTCTTCCTTCGTTTTACAATTCGGTGCGCGATCCTAGTAATATTCATATAAACTAATAATTCTTCGAATCTCTCTTATTTATACGCGATTTTACAACTAACTCGATTTTTATCCTTTGAAGATGTCAGCTGAAAAGATGTGATATTACACGCGAGATTTACTACGTACGAAGTGATCATCTCACTCATCTCTATCTTTCTTTCCTTTTTTTTTTATCTTTATTCATTTCTTTTTCCTTTAGATCGGGGCTTCTCAAAGTAAACAAATTATTAAACGAGCAATAATCGAAAATTCATGTTAAAACAGTTTGGCAACGGTACACGTATAGTAATGTTTACGAGTTTATGATAGCGATAAAGAAAAGATAAAGTTAGGGTAGTGAAAATGTTTGCTCGGATAAAAGGGGGTAGTTTAGTGGAAAACTTTGAGAAGCCCTGTTCTAGGTCGTGTGTTTTACATACATGCATACAAAATAATCTTGCCAACAGTCCTTTTCTCTCTCTCTCTTTCTCTCTTTCTCTCTCTCTCTCTTTCTTTATCTCAATCTTTTCTCTTTTTAATCGTTAGCATAATTACATTAGTTATTCTTCTGTTTAATTTTTCTCATCGATTTTCTACATAAGCATATTACATTTTCTCTTTCTCCCTCTCTCTCTCTCTTTTTCTTTTTTTAAACTACGTTCAGTTAAATGTCTTACGTTAGTGTGCTCGTCATACTAATTCCGAATACGATCACTATTTTCTTAATAGTACGTAAATATACATCCATACATATTCGTATTAGATAAAATTGACTTTACGATAGCAGAGAATGCTCCAATTCTTAATCATTTTTCTTTCCCTCCCTCCCCCCCACTTTTTTTTTTATATACATCGATTCATTCGTATCGTTTCCTTCTTCTCGTTGGATCAAGAAAGTCTCGTTTCCTGTCTCCTCGCAAGGGAACGTTCTTTTTCTTTTTTTTCGGATTAATTTTGTGCGTTTTAGCAATGCCTTTGTTCTTCGTTACGAAATAAAATTCATTTTCTTTCTTTTTCCTATTTCTCTTCTTTTTTTTTTTTTCTTCATTAAGGATAACTTCGTTCGATCGATCGTAAAACACAATTTGATGAGAATGCTATTCAATCCGGCTTGTTTACATCACACTTTGAAAACTATTGATTGATAATTAATTAATTATCATTACGGCGATAATAATTGACGGTCTACGTTACAGTTAATCGATGACGTAAAAACGCTAATTAAAAAATACGTATACGTACCTACACACACAGGCACGCGCACACACATAATACATAAGTACATATGTATGTAGGTATTCATTTATTTATACTTATTATGTCTTTCTATTCTTTTTTCTTTTTTTTTCTTTTTTTTCTTTTTTTTTTGTTTTTTTTTTAATTACTACTGATATGTGCCTCTCTCACATTTCTTTCCGCGTACGCCAATATTTGCCTTTTTGTTTTCTTCTTCTTTGTTTTTTTTTTGTTTTTCACTCTCTGCCATGCATTTCCTTCTTTTCTTTCTTTTATTTTGTTTTTTCTTAAATATTTTTCTTTTTATTTGTCAACAACAGCGTTTACTAGATCTCTTCGTTTAAAAAGACTATCACTATCACTAATAATCAATGAGCACGTGATAATAATTCGTAAATGTTGAAATTTGAAAATTGTATCTTCGTCGAGTCGTTCAACGAGCTCGATATTTTTTTTTTCCTTTTTTTTTTTTTTTTTTTTTTTTTTTTTCTATAGTACCATATAATACCATTTTATAAATTTTTTATAACAATGAGATATCGTTTAGAACGACAACTTTAATTACATTATTATTACGATACGATCGAAGAAAATAATCATTATGATTTTTTTCTACGCGCAATCTCTTGAGACTTTCTTATCCACGAGACGAAGTTTCTCGTCGTCTTTTTTTTATCTATTATTTTTCCTTTTTCTTTTCAACCTCCTCCTCCTCCCCCCCCCCTATTATTTTATCAACAAAGACAAATTATTATCGGCAGTGCGTAAATTAGGTCGGGGCTTATATTCTTTGGTTTTCGTTTTTATGGAGGACAAGGGAAACGATGATACGAAGTATAAAATTAAATCGACAAATAAATCTATCAAGAAATTTATCAAAATTCTCGTAATATACGAAAATCACATTCGCAGGATTAAAGAAATTATTTTCCTAACGACTCAAACATAAATCATCGGGCTGCAAATCGAGACACATATTTCATTCTCTCTCTCTCTCTCTCTCTCTCTCTCTCTACTATCGTTTATTTATTTAATTTCTTAATTTGTTTGTTTATTATTTCTTTCTTTTTTTTTTATTTCCTTTTTTTGATATTGCGATTTCATTTGAGTATCATTGTCCTGTGCAAATATCTCGTAAAAAAATTTTGCTTTTGATTTTCGCTTGGTGAGAAGATTTTTACACTTGCTCAGGACGCGTATGTGTATAAATGAGAGATTAGGGTTGAGGAAGGGGGACATTGGTAAAGGGAGGAGTCTGATTAACCAATTAGCTTTGATATTGTCATTTTTTTCTATGACGAGTATTATACTCGTCAATCACAGCTAATTGGTTAAAAATCCTAATTCGTTAGTATAGTCGCTAATAATAATAATAATAATAATAATAATAATAATCTTACAATATAATCCATAGAACATCTTAGATTCATTTTAACGAGATCACAAATCGTATACCATTTAATGGTTCATGAGTTTAATCATTTTTAAGATTGTATTCTACTTTTTCCTTTCCTTTCTCTCAACAATATTACTTTTATTTAAATTATATTGAAAATATGAGAGAAAGGAAGAAGGAAGAATAAAAAATACGAGAAAGATCAAATCGATTTGGAGAAAGAGATTCTTTTAACTACAAAATCACGAACTTTTCACGAAGATCTATTTTTTTATGTGTATACTATGTTTATATATATATATATTATAAGGTATACCCTTTTTTTCTTATCGTTTTTTATAATAATTATAATTGATAATAATAATAATAATAATAATAATAATAATAATAATAAAATTTCTTAGGCTATCCATCGCACGCGTCATTTTATCTGTTTTTTCTTCGAACGTATTTACATGTAACGGAGATACGTTAAAACAATGATGAAAGAAAAAAATTAATAATAATCGATTTTAATTGATAGTTTTTGTTCTTTTCTTTTTAACGAATAAGAATGAAATGCTAATGATCAATACGATGGTCTATAGGATCGATCAAAACTTAATCGTGATTAATTAATTACGAAAAAAATTCGAAAAGGGAAAAAGAACAAAAAATGTATGATGTCCTATGTATATATATATATATATATATATGTTTATGTATACGGCGTACTAAGTGTTCGAACTTTTTATAACGATATTAATTAGTCCGCGATTAACTCGATATGACAGTTTACTAAGTTTTTGGCCGCTTCTAGATTCTTGTTAATTTTATCTTAATTTTTTTTTCTTCATTCTTTTTTTCCTTCTTATAAGTTTTACTAATATTTGTCTCTCATACATTTTTAACTTCTCCGGTGTATCAGCATATATGCATCAACTTTTTGACGGCACATCCCCCTGTTCCAACACATTTAACATCCCTTAATCATCTGTTCGAGCTGAGTCACAGAATCCTCGACGAATCCTTTTAACAATCCTTTCTTTTTTTTTTGCCTTCATTTTACTTTAATATTCATTTACATTTTTCTTCTGAATTTTTCGATAATAATAATAATAATAATTTTTTTGTTTATATCAACGGTTCACATCCGATTTGTATTAGATATTTCTATCTCTCATTGTAAATCCCGTTTTTATAAATGTGAATATATAAAAAAGAAGGATCAATCTGTGACTCATCAGGTACAATGCACCAATTCCTTGAAAAGTCCTTTTCACACGTGACCCAATGTCACGTGTCAACTATCTTAATCATCGATGATCTAATCTAAAGATCAATTCTACTTGTCGTCCCTCAAAAGGGCTTCCTCAGCTTCCTTCCGTCTCGCTTTCGCTTCCTTTTTCGCACGTTTCTTTTCTTCCTTGGCCAATTTTTTGGCTTCCTTTTGCCTATTCTTCTCAGCTTTTTCTTCCTCCTTCTGTCTGGCCTTTTCCGCTTTTTCCCTTTCCTTCTCGCGTTCCTTTTCTTTCTTCAATTTTTGTATCTCCTGTACAACCGAAATTTTCGGCTGGACTGGTGGCCTTTTCGACGTCGAACGTCCATTCGTACCGTTCGTACCGTTCGTAACGTTCGTTGTTCCGTTCGATCCGTTCGTCGACGATGACGACGATGACGACGAGGATGACGACGACGACGACGAGGATGACGACGTGGTCGTTGTTGTCACCGTTGTCGGAACGTTGTTCGACGTAACTCTTGTACTCGGTGTTGTTTCCAATTGCGTCACAATCTTCTGAGCACATCTGCAATATCATATTTATTTCGTTATCGTTGTATTCACATTGCACATTATTATCGCAATTTTTTACGAATTATTATTTTACCCAAAAAAAAATGATAAAATGAATTTTCGTTTGTTCGTTACTTTTCTTTTGTTTTTGTCTTCTTCTTTTTCTTGTTGCATCGTATCAAAATTTATAAGAATTATTATTTAACATTTACCGTATTCTAGTTGAGGCCTTTCCAGCACGATAATCTCTCTGGAATTCTTTGATAGGCGGTAATCTACGATTTTCTCTCATGACGTCTTCTTCATCAGCCACTTGCTGAATTGGATCCTGGTATTCCTGTCGAACGAATATAATCGATTATAATACAAATGAATAATAATAATAAATAACAAAATTGTGTATAATAAATTGAAACGTTCGTCGAAGAACTAACTTGAATACGCAGTTTCATCGATTGAGTTTGAGAACGTCTGAGTGTCGCACCGCTTGGTTGTCTCACTCTCGTTGGTTTACCTAAGGTGGAACCGGTACTTCCGGTACTACTAGCAGACGACGATGTTGCCGAAGACACGGAAGACACTCCTATATATGGAAAAAGAAAAAATATAATCGATATTATTTTTGATATGAAATTTTGAAAGATAGGATATATGATATATCAGGTTATCCCATAAGTTCCTTCTTTTTCTTTTTTTTTTTTATGCGAAATTAATAAACGATATGTGTTGTGTTATATATGAACACGTACTTTGAAAGAACTGTGAAACGATTGAAATTGATGCAATCGATGAAAATGATTTATGGAAGAACCTAATATATTCACGTTTACAAGGATTAATTATTTAATTAAGAATATTTAAACGAACCGGAAATAGATGACGAACCACTGGCCATGGAATAAAGAGAAGCAGAAGCTGGTACACTTCCTGTTCCCCATCTCCCTCCTGGTCCAGAAACTCCAACGCTTACACCGATTCCCATGTTGTACTCCGATGCGCTTTGAGGTAAGACCCATGATTTTCCAGACATCGAGTACTATAATGATACGTAATTATAAAGTTTGATTAAAGATAGGAAGAACACACTTGGATAGATTAAAGAATAATATACATATATATTTTCTTTTTTTAATCTAAATCAACATTTTCTTAGAACTGTTTTAGATTTCTTTCAGTATACTATAATTTGATCATAGAATTAACACACGGAATTACGGATTTGTTCGTTAATTTTTAAGACAAACTTCGCGTTTTCTATCTCTTTTAAACGCATTGCTGAGTTTAACGCATCCTTTAATTATTATACAGATTTACGAGAACACAAGTACTCTTCACGTAGCTCGACGATGCTCGGAATTTCATTTAAGAGGGAAAATATGTTTTCCGACGGGTGGGATGTACGCCCACGTGAACAAGCTGTGCGTGACCTGGAACCATCCAAAATCTCTTGGAATATCTCTCCCACTCTTTCTCTCTCTCTCTCTCTCTCTCTCTCTCTCTCTCTCTCTTTTTCCTTTTTTTTTCTCGTTAATATAAATCGGAAAAAATAATAATCCGATTACTGTGATCAATTTCAATGAAAAAGAACGTGCGCGCGTATCAGTTATATTTTTAATATTAACAAATTTTTCTTTGAATGAAATTACTTTTAAAAATTTCTCACCGAACTATTTAATTAATAATAAAAAAAAAAAAAATGTTTCCTTTAATTAAATCTTTTTTAAAATTTATTTATTTACGAATAAACATTTCTTTTGGCCTACTTTACGTATTAATGTACAGTAAAGAGATGTGCTTTAACGCGACAAATTGAAAGCAGCTTTCGATGAAACGAAACGAAACGAAACGAAACGATATTTGGTTTTTCTTTCTTTTACATAAACGTACATCTCGGTCCTACACACACGGCCCTTTGGAAATTGGTCAAGAGGTGACGAAAAGCTCACTGAATCGGTTCCAATTACACGTGATTTTACACTCCCGCGAACGGTTTGACGAGCTTGAATATTGCGTTTCGTACACGTATACTATAGTATCTCTCCTTCCTTTGTACGTCATAGGTTCGAAACTCATAGCTGTTGAGGTAAATTTGATGAAAGATAATACAAAAGAGGAAATCGATCGAACGTGAACATTAGAAGAACATAATTGTTCTCTTTTGTTTTCTAATAATGAATGATATTATGGGGAGAGAAAGTGTATGATCATAAAAATTAATCCTGTGACTTTTAAATTATTTACTTAAATAAAAAATTGATTTTACAATTTTTTATACGTTCCCTTGACGTCATCGTTTTATACGGACGAGGAAGTAACATTTTTCTTTTTTAAATAAATAAATTGTACTTACATCTCGTGGAATAAGAGTTTGCTTCAATCGAAGAATTTTTGCTCTGCATATGACACATCTCAACGGTAAGAGACGTTGCGACACAGCCATCTGAATCGTTTTGACAAAGCAACGTCTGCAAACGGGAAGATGTTGTTTTTTTTTTCTTTTTTTACGTAATCAATTTTATAAATAACGAATTTCTTTATTGAATTTTTATTTCTATTACATTTTTTTTGTTGTAATTGCATAAGTTTTACCTGCAAACTACACGATGTCCGCACGGTGCCGTTTGCATCGTAGCTCTCGCGTTCACGCATATTACGCACTGCAATTGAAAAATAAATCCGTGTTTATTTTTTCTCTTTTTTTTTGTTTTTTTTTTTCTATCTTTATTAGTAATATAGATTATTTAATTTTTAAGAGAAGAGGAGTGAATTATAATAATGGACGAGTTTTGATTGCAGTAAAATATTCTTTATTCGTGTGATCTCTACTTCCTTGTTTTACGATTAACAAAATAACTTGATGAATATTTTCTACAGTACTAAAAACTATTTTATATTTGATATCATAAATTTGATGTCGATGAATCTCCTTCATTCCATTACTGTAGATATACCCGTTCCTAAAAGATAAAATATATACAAATATTATTACAGAGCCCTATCCGAAAAAAATACGTCAGATCGTATTTGACATATGTGAGTTCGAAGGGTTGCATTTAAAATTATTTTCGATCAAAAATCCATGATATTACATGAAACCTTACCCGTTAATGTTGTTTGTGTAGTACTTCTTTTTCTAGAATTGTGTCTACTACGATAAATTCGAGCTTCTCTTGCATGCCGTTTTCTGTTTCTGTTTGGTTGATCCCCACTTTGTCCATCACCTCCCATACCTCCACCCATACCACCTTCCATACCAGCTTCCATACCAGCTTCCATACTAGCTTCCACACCACCTTCCATACCACCTCCTATACTACCTCCTATACCAGCGTGCACACTACCTTCCATACCTCCTCGTCCACCAAAATTCCGTTGTGCATTTCTACGATTAACCGATCTTTTCATTGTTCCAACTCGATAAAATTCATCTTCTCTTACATTTCGTTTACTGTTTCTGTTTGGTGGACCTCCACCTTCTCCACTACCTCCCATACCACCACCCATACCACCGTCCATTCCACCTCCCATACCACCTCCCATACCACCCCCCATACCACCTCCCATACCACCTCCCATGCTTCCACCCATACCACCCTGCATTTCACCACCCATACCACCTTGTGCACCCATATCAGCCCCCTGTGCATCTCTACGATTAACCGATCTTTTCATTGTTCCAATTTGACTTCCAACTCGATAAAATTCATCTTCCCTTACATTTCGTTTACTGTTTCTGTTTGGTGGACCTCCACCTCCCCCACCACCTCCCCCACCGCCCATACCACCGTCCATTCCACCTCCCATACCACCATCCATTCCACCTCCCATACCACCTCCCATACCACCCCCCATACCACCTCCCATGCCACCTCCCATACCACCCTGCATTTCACCTCCCATACCCCCCTGTGCACCCATATCACCCCCCTGTGCATCTCTACGATTAACCGATCTCTTCATTGTTCCAACTTGACTGCTATTGCTGTTAGTATTGCCATCTTCAGGTGGGTTTCCAGGTGGTGGACCAGGCGGTCTACCTCCTGGGGGATGAGGAAAAGGACCGCAATGTCTATGTCTTCTTCCTCGACCCGAAAATTCATTCACCGAGTCATCGTCAAAATCACTGTCATCGTTATCTTGGCTCGTCTAAGGGAATAAAAAATCAAATGAAATCATTTCTCTCAATCGTTTAGATCTATAATTTATGTTATATTCATTATTATATATACTTTTAAAAAACACAATATACTTACCGCCAATTGAAGTATCACGAAAAGTATGGGAATTATTAACGTGAGTTTCATGTTTCTTTCAGAATACACTAGAAGAGACTGTCCAGTTGGTTTTACTTGTTGGCTTTATAAATACCTTTGACAATGTTAACGTATTAATTGTTATTGTATAATTTGTCTCTTTTTTTTCTTTTTTCTATTATTATTATTATTATTAACTCTTCGTCGCTTATTTTCTATATAATATAATAGGTGATGGAACAGAAAGAAAACATCAAATGACTATAATGAAACGGACATGAAATCATAACACGTACGACCAACACGCAGCTTTAATCGTTGAATAATTTTACTCCTATATAATTATATATATGCTCGATTGCTCTCAGCTTTTGTTGTCTTCTTAGAAATGTTTATACGTTCTCTCTTTTTCTCTCTTTCTCTCTTTATGTTTTGTTCGCAATCATTCATCACCGTCAAAATGGTCGCACGAAAAGTTCGCGCTTGTTACTTCTTTTAACGATCAACGTTTTGATATCTCTGTGTGTATTTATGTTTATTTTCGAACAAAATTATTACACAAAGTTATGTAACATTACATGTAGAAGATTGATTTCCTTTATGTGTTAACACAGATAAATTTGAACGATAGCTACGCGAATTTCAAGATCACTTCCGGTTTCTTTTATTTTTTTGTTACGTCGTCATTATTACATACACGATAGATATATACACATACATATCTTTAATAATTTTTTTTTAACTACTTCTACCTTTTTCTATTTTCGAAATTGGATTCAAAACGAAACGTTATATTTATTTAAATAAAAAATTCCTTAATATTATATTTGAATTAATTTTGTTACAAAAAGAAGAAGAAAAATTTGAGTGAAGTTTGATATAGCGGAACATGCATAAAAAAAAAAAACAAAAAAATGGAGGTAAAATTTCGAAACAAAATGAAAATAGAACACAAGTATGACAAACGCTAGCGGAAATGCAGTAGGTGACACTCTAGCTATTGACAAGGGAAACAACGTCGATCAATTTTAATTCGATCTATCGTTTGATCGACGTTTGATAATTCGTAATCGACGTAAGCAAATTAGGCTTCGCTTTAATCGGAATATTAATAGGCAAGGGTAGGTTCGAAGGGATTATCTGACGTGTCAGAAATCGAAGGGTCTACGTGTCGTCTTCTTCTCTGTTTCTCCATCAGTCTTGTTCATCGGCAGGTTAATCGAGTTTCGCAAACCACTGAACTATCAATTCAATCGGAAACGACATCTTTTCCGGGCTGGCGCACGTCTTTCAAAAAATATTCAACCAATTTTTTGTGGTACCCTTCGTTTATTTTATTATCACAAAAATAATTCTATTTTTATATATATATATATATGAAAGAAATAAAAAGTATATTATATTTCAATGATATAAGATAAATGATATTCAAAATGAAAGATCCTTAAAATAGAATAAAAATGTGAGAGAGATATTTCGCGTTAAAATATTTGCCCTGTATAAATGCAAATTTTCTCTACGCTAAAAAAAATTCTCGTAGTTGTAATATAATATAAAAATATCGTCCTACCTGCTTTTGACATTTGTTTTTTTTTTCTTTTCTTTTCTTTTCTTTTTTAAATATCGACGGAAAAAGGACAGAGAAATGTCGGAGAGTAAGAAAAATATTTCTCCTTCTTTCCTTTGAGAGAGCTAAAAGGGAGAGAAATAAAAAAGAATAAAAAAGAAAAGAAAATCCGGAGAAATCTCATTTTCTCGGCAATCGTCGATTCCCTTTCTCGGCAAAATTACAAATTAGGCTTGATTACGTCTTGTCTTCCGTCGTGCTAGGGACGACCTAACAAAATTATCTTAAGGAAGCTTCGAAAGAGAAGGTTTCAATAGAAAATAGCTATGGGAGGGCAATGAAAGAAGCCCTTCGTCAAATCTTTCATTGTGGACAACCCTTAGCAGTGTTAATTGGATTTACATTTTCTTTTTCTTTCTCATTCTTTCTCTCTCTCTCTTTTTCTCGATCGTACAATACCACAATCTCTGATTACATCCAACAAATTCCTTCCACTCCAGTTATCCAAACTATCCCTCTCTTCTTTGTTTCTTTTTTTTTCTTTCAAAAAAAAATCGTACAATTGGCCAGATTTCTGTATCGCGATTGTAAATGACGGAATATTAAACGCGTTTTTTTTTATACAATCCATATCTATCGATAACAAAGCTCCATTCGTTTATTTTTATAACCACCGCGTTATTTAATTTTTCTATCGATTACGATTCTCCCTTAACAAAGTAACACTTACTTCGTCCTCCTGCGAAGAGGCCAATTCCGGTTCGTTTTCCTCCAACTTCGTTAACAATTTATCCTGTAACAAAAAGAACAATAACAACTATTAAAATCGAACGAATAATCTTTTTCTTTTCTTTCTTTTTTTTTTTTTTAGATGATACATGGTTGGAGAATGGGGTTAGGAGATTACAAAAAGTCAAGTAAAAATTTGAAGTAAATTTGTCGTGTGTGTACAAGATACCTAATACATCATCTCTCTCTCTCTCTCTCTCCTTCTATCTATCTATTTATCTATCTAGGTCAGGGTGGTCTCCAGATATTAGGGGATGATGCGCAAAATATCCCCACTACTAGGTAACGCGTCGTACAACCGAGGTGACTTTTCATGTTGACGCTCGACTCTCCTCCTTCATTTTAACTGGACCGGTCAGAATATTCGGCAGAGCGAATTTTCTTTGCCTACCATTTTCTCTATTTCGAAATTCCGTCGTCATCTTTTTTATTCCCATGAAAATTATTTTTCTTTTCCCCCAGACTCGTAGGAAAGCTTTCGCTTAAGCTTCCGTAAACTTCCGCGACTTATTCGACTTATTCTCGGGGACAAAATCCATTTTAGTTTTTTTTTTATTTCTTTTTCTATTTATTTCTTTCTCTATCTCTTTTCTATCCAAATGTTTTTCTTTCTCTATATTATTCTTAGAATATATATATAAGATTATTCTGGAAAAATCTTGACCGAACGATGAAACGTAACTTTTCCGGAGAAAATATACGCGAGTGATAAAAAGAAGATAAAAATGAAAGAGAGATAGACAAGAATAAGAGAGAAAGAGAGAGAGAGAGAGAGAGATAGCTTTGATGTAATAGAATTTTAAGTTACGAGGGATGCTTTCGACCTTCTCGAATCGTCCAAGCAGCCGAGAAAAATCTTTGAATTCGATTGAATGAAAAATCTTACGATGCTTTTCGCGAAAGGAAGAAAAAAAAGTAAAGAAGAGGAATTGAAGATCTAGTCGGAGAAAGATACTTTGATTTTACCTAATTTTTTTCTTTCACTTAACCTCCCTTTCTACGCACACACGCACACACACACACACAGACACTCTCTCTGTCTCTGTTTCTCTCTCTGATTTTATATAAATATATATATACAATATTTCTCTCTGTAAAAGATTTTTGTTATCGTAGTTTGACGATCGAAGAGGTAAAAATCAGAGAAGGTGGATTGAATTTTTATTGAATTTTATCTGAGTTCTCGTCGTAAACAGAAAATGATTGGAGTGTTTTTCTTTTTTTTTTTTTTTTTCAAGGTATGAATCACTTCACTCCACTCTCTCTTTTTCACCCATTCCATTTATCTATCTCTCTCTCTTTCTCTGTTACAATTTCACTTTTTCACAGTCATCGAGCAGTAGTTCGTCGTTGCCTTAGACACTTAGTTACATGCAAAAAGGAAGAGGTGAATTATATCGATCGATTCCTAGTAGTACGGCTCGCATAAAAATAGCGCGTGTAACTATTATGAAACGAGACTATGATGTTAGACGGTAGACCAAATCGAAAGCTGTCTATCTAAAGTATCGTTTTAATTCGTCTAACATTATTATTATTTTCTTTTCTTTTTATATCTTTTTTTTCACGAAAAAATATACAAAAACCTCAAAAAAAAAAGAAAGAATAGAAAAACCATTTTAAGAAAATTATCGAAAATTATTCTAACGAGAGAAATAAGAATTTCTTTCGATTGAAACAGCAACGACGAAAAAGAAAAGAAAAGAAAAGAAATTTCGATACTCGATATGTAAATAGTATTATGTATTTAAAATTAAAAAAAAAAAAGAAAAAAGAAGAAAAAATGAATTATTATTATTATTATTATGAAAAAGAAGGTAAAGAATAGAATGATCGATCGTTTGAAACTCGACGGTAAATAATTGGCCGAAGAAAGCAATCTCTCAAATAAAAAGGAATCGTGGAAGAATGGTAGGCCGATTACGGGACTAAAGTGGATTCGAATCGTTCGATATTGTTAAGCTAATTATTCCAGTGGGCGTTTTACGAGGGTACGAAGCGATTGAACGTTTTGATCGTTTGTTCATTCGTTCATTCGTCCTTCCGTTCGTTTCTTCTTCTTCTTCGTGAGTAGTACGCCTTCATCATTGACACACTAGAGTTTAATTATAGGATTCGTTATTTCCAATCAAACCATTGCCGAGAAAGAGAGAAAGAGAAAAACTTGAAAAGCTTTTTACGTCCATCACAATTATTTCCACGAATGTGCAGACGAATTTTATATTTAGGAAAGAGGAATGGTTATAACGGGGGAGGGGGCTGGCTGGAAGGGAAAAAAGGTGATCGTTTTTCCAATTGATTTTTTTAAAGATATTAAATGTTATCTCTCATTGTTTCGTTGTTTCATTTAATTATTTCATTTATTTATCATACGTTTAATCGATCATTAATATTTATTTAATTAAATATATTGTGTGTGTAAATAATTATGATTTGAATTTTTATGAAATTATTGTACGATATTGAAAGATTATATACTTGTATTATATTGAAAATAGATTATATTCATCGATTATTTATAATAAAAATTTTCGTGCACATTCTAGATAGGAAAATCAATATTATTTACAAAAAATTATAAAAGAAAAGAAAAGAAAAAAACAGAAATAATAGTCAATAGCATTGAAGCAAACGTCGATCGAGCAGTTAATGGGATTTCCATGTGGAAATTGTCTGATTTCCACTCGATGTCGATGATGGATGGATGATACATACATATGTAGTAGGAATATATCGGACTATCGTGCAGGATGGTCAAATTTTCGTTGGTATCGTAGTATTCATTTCGTTATAAGCAACGGTTTAGTCGTCGGTGGGGAATTCGTAAATCGATTTTCTCGTCTCGTCTAGTCTCGAGGACCGGCTGATAACTGCATGCTGCTCGTTCATGAGAGAACGAGAGAGAGAGAGAGAGAGAGAGAGAGAGAGATGCTGAAGCGTTCCATTAAAAAACTCATCGTCGAGTAAAAAAAAATCAACAAGAAAAATTCATTTCAACTGTTACAGGTGTAAACGAAAAACATTTTGCATTTCGAGCAAGAGAAAACGAACGAGTTTAAGATATTTTGTGTGTTCGTTATACATTATTAATTATATGTTTTTATATTCTCGTCGTTTTATTTAAACTAACACACTACCATAAATGTTGGTGATAGAAAATAAGTAGGAAAACACGTTACGCTCAATGTAGACCATTGAAAAGCACCTTTCTCTCTTAAATCGAGCGTATGATTCGTGTTCTCAAACCTAAACGATTCAGTTTCCATCGGAGATCTTCGACGGCAAGATCGCATCGAGTACAAATATCTTTTCGTTATCTACAAATTTTATCGTTTAGTTTTCTTTTCTTTTTCTTTTTTCTTTTTATTTATAAAAATGTTTCCGAATTTACTCGTTTCTCTTCTCTGTCGTGTCATATCTATCAATAGAGGTAATTCATTATATAATCTACGGTGTTTTGCAATTAATATTATGTTCATAGTTTATATGTATTGTTCTTCTGTGTGAAATATCGTTGAAATAATTCAACTACGTGTATACTACGCATAGGTGAATAAAATAAAAATTAAAGTGAACAACATCATGTGAGAAATATTGTGAAAAGATATATGTAGAGTATTATTATGAATTTACTAGATCACTGTGCCGACGATGAACGCGTAAAAAGATTATAGTCTCGAATATAAAATAATGCAACTTTCTAGATATCCTACAAAAGCAAGAGTGTATGTCAGGAAAGTTACTAGAAAAAAAAAAAGAAAAAAATACTATAGACCTTTTCTCATAACATGATTTATATTTTTTTTTTCTTTTTCTAAGTGGATCAACTTCTCTAATCTCGATACAACGTTTATTTTATTCCGAGAAATTTTATTAACCTATTCTATATAAATAAAAGTAAGAAAACAAATCTTACGGGAACGTCGGCTAAGAATCTGTGTCGTCAATTTAAAATTATTATTCCGTTAGAAATTGTTCATTATACTACAAACGCAAGACTTGCATCTACGAAGAATAGAATTGCATTAATAATTTCTTCTTTATTTTGTCATAAAATTGCAACAAATACGTTAGGAATCATTTGCATTCGTTTCTGACGCATATTCATTTGTATTAACTTTTGTATAAACTTTTTCTTTCGTTGCTTTCTTCGCAAGTAAAAATCCATTAACGTGATATCTGGGGATCTTGCAGAGCCAAGGAATTGGTCCTCTTTGACCTATTCATCAAAAAGGGTAAAGGTCATTTAACCATAACCCGTACTGGTACCGCATAATCTATTGGACAAGCACCCAATTGCATTCATAAATGTTGACGAAATAACAACGAAATATCTCTTATCAATTTTGATTGCAATTCATTTAATAGAAAATCTAAAAGAGACTGTGCATGTGTTCTTATGCAATGTCAACGAAACACCTGTCAGTAATCATTTCGTATTTTTATTATAACTTTTTAATTAAACATTTAAGATGTATGTATTGACTATATCGAATGTTACCTAATTTCTAAATTTTACTTTCTCTTTTCTTTTATTATTACGGTAATCACAATTAGGTTAGATCTTAGAAGAAATCGGAGAAACCACATAAAATGACTCGTAATATTTCATAGCTTTGACCCCACTTCTAAATTTTATTTAATAACCGGAAAAAGTTAGACGGTCGTAACGATTTCTAAGAATTTGATCGTAATCATTGATTTTATAATAACAGTTAACCATTAGCTAATCAAAAAAAGTTACATTTCTCACCCTTTTTTTATTTTTCTTTTTTTTTTTTTTTTTTTGATATTTCGATGGATAACCGTATGTACTGTAATTTTGATATACTTATATTTAGAATAATTATTCAAATGCCATTGTAATTATCATTTAGTTCATGCTACAGTGTTATTAGGTCAACTTTCATCCGATCTTTCACATTTGTAGCTCACATTTGTAGCTCACGTTGTTTAAATCGACATGCAACGTCATGCTTCGAATAACTCGAGGAATTTAATGTAAGTGAAAAGTAAATTCATGAGGAAGATTAATTGATTGACTCTTATCGATGACCACCACGACTAAGACGATGACGAAGACAATGACGAAGACGATGACGATGACGATGATGATGACGATGATAGGAAAACATATGACAAATAGATTGACCATGATGATTATTATGTGTTTCTCATCGAAGGATTCTTGCTTGTGATATCGCAAAATGAGAAAGAAAAAAAAGGGGAAGATAAGTTAACAGGGGCGGTGAAGGGGGGAGGGTGGTGGAGGGTGTTTGCGATCGGTACTGGCGTGGGTGCACGCGACATCACGTGACCACTGTCAGGTTCAATGACGAAGACCACGTGGAATGGCTACGGCCGAGTGGCGCCGTTCTAATGACGTTCCCTTGCTCTTACCTTTTTTTCTTTTTATTATTATTATTTTTCTTCGTTCTTTTTTTTTTTTTGTTATTTATTCTCCACAGATACCGGCATTCTGTACACGATGCTCGTTCCAACTGGCACCTGTCCTCTTTGCTGTCCGATCGATCTCGATCGAGATGTCGAGTATCTACTATTCACTAGGTAACTTTGTTTTACGTTTATGTTAATACATACATCTGTAATAGATATATATTGTATATATGTATATATCCGGTCCTTTTTCTATTTTATTCGATCATTTTATTTTGTAGTTTTATAGATATGTGTGATAAATGTATTAGTATATATATGTGTGTGTGTGTGTAACACATAACTCGGCGTTATGTTATCGCGTCACGTTAAAGGACGGCAATACGTTCGATACTAGTCAACCTCCACACCACGTTCATTTACTGTGTCGAGTAAAGTCGAGTGAGTTTTGCGTCGATCTCGTAATTCCCATTGCGAATTTAAATTCATCGTCTCCTATATCTCCAGAGTCCTTTCATTTACGTTCAAAGATCGTACTCTCGATGAAATTTCTATCTTGGGAACGACATTTTCATTCGCAATAGGTAAACCTTTCAAATTTAACATTACGTTCCTATCAGTATATTTCTGCATGTTTACGCGTAATGTCGGTGATAAATTAGAAATTTGGAACGTCATTCGATTTTACCCTTTGAATAACGTAAAGGGATATATATATATAGATAGATATTTAGTTCGCGGTTTCTGCCACTCCGGATAATTAAAATACTTTTTAGGAGAATTTTAGCATTAAACGAAATTCGAACGATCCCTATCTTCTTTCTATTTCTATATTTCAAAGACGAAATCCACGAGTGGGCAACGTGTTGAGCGTATTGAATCCGCTATCCTTACGAAGAAGTAACTTTGATAAAAGGAATCCTACGGTCGTTTACATTCACGGATACAGCGAGAGTGCACCAGGCGAAAGTGCGAATGCCGTGAGAGATGGTATGGCTTTTTTTTCCAATTTTATATTTAGAAATTAAATGAATATTATTTTTCATATCTAATATTAAATAAATATGATATCATTTATCTTATTATTAAAATCAATATTATTTTGTATTTTCGTGTATTACAAAATAAACGTTTTTTATCATTTAACTTACAAGTTAGAAAATACCTTAAAGTTGTGGGTGCATAGGAAGGTTTATAATCTATATACATATACATATATATGTAATAGTTGAGGTACGAGGAACAAGAAGGTCTAGCGAGGACAGCCAAGTGGCTGTCATTTGAATACTTCATTTCTTTGAAAGTCGTAAAGGATTTGGCCCAGTTAGTCGTAGCAAAAGAGTCGATGGGTGAAACTTGGCTTGGTCCATTAGTAACTGGTAGGAGTAGTTAGAAGAGTGAGAACAGTACTGTTGTTTAAGCTGCTTTTCGTCGAATCTCTCGCCTAGAAAAAAGGGGGAATGACGAATGGTAGCTCGAAAAAGTTTGGCACGATTTTGGTTAACCGTATATAACATACGAGCAGAAAAGACAATTAAGTAATACTGACGTTTGTAAATTTGTTTTTTACATATTGTTTTTCTTTCCTTAAGTTTATCTGAAACGTGCCGATTACAACGTCATATTGGTCAATTGGGTCAGACTGTCGACGTTACCGTGGTATAACACGGCCGTGGAAAATACGAGACTAGTTGGTGCCCATGTGGCTCGTATGATCAGTTGGTTGGACGCACAGAGAGCTGTTCCACTATCAAATATTCATGTTATTGGATTCAGTTTGGGTGCCGAGATAGCTGGATTCATGGGCAAAGCTTTGGCCCCACGTTTGGTAGGTAAACATACTCGAAATAAATAACTTATCAAACTGGGAATAGTTTAGACGGTATTTCTAATCTCACGGGTTTAAAGGAAAATTACGATAGAAAAATCGATCGGTCGATATATTGTAGATCCGATCGATACTCTTTACGAAAGAATCTGAGATTCGATTTATATGCAAATAAGTTTTGACACTTTGGTAATTCATAGTCTTTGGTAAAATATGTGTTTGTTTTTTTTTTGCTGTTGGCTCATAGGTTGGTAGGATAACTGGACTGGACGCGGCTTATCCGTTGTATATGAACACTGGGAAAGAAGGTCACTTGACAGCCAGTGATGCAGCTTTTGTCGATGTTATTCATACCGACGGTGGAATCTTTGGTTTTCCAAATCCTCTAGGTCATGCAGATTTTTATCCGAACGGTGGTAAACCACCGCAACCTGGATGTAGTCTTGAAAATATATTTCGTCGTGGCATAATGTTGCTTATCAGGGAAAAAAGTAAATAATATTATTCGATTGAATTTAAAATAATCTAACAATTTCCCCCCAACACCCCCCCACCCAATCTTATAATAATATATTATACTCGCGAGTTTATTTCGTTTGATTTATTTTATAGTTACTTGCGACCATTACCGAGCGTGGATGTTGTACGTCGAATCTGTTAAAAATCCCTTAGGATTTCCGGCCAGTCGTTGCCCAAGATGGAGACAGGAAATCCATGCTAACTGCAGATGGACTCCGGATGCTCTCATGGGATTCGCTATAGATACCAAAACCAGAGGAAAGTATTACCTAAGGACGAACGGACGATCGCCTTTTGCTCGAAATGTTACGGAATATAATTTTTAAGATGACATTTATTTTTTTTTTACCGTGGACGATTTTTTTTTTATAGTTCAAGTTTATCGTCGTCGTCGTCGCCGTCATTTTGATCTCAACATATTTTACGTAGGAATCTAACGTTAAGCTATATTTTTCTAGATCTTATGTTAGATTAATGCTAGTCTAACGTGAAGGTGGATAGATTACGTGTTAGATAAATATCGTCGTATGCTAGAAGAGATTTCGATGAACATAATATTCTCCTATAACAGTTAAGCAATTCGAGTAACGTGTATGAAAATTATTGAGCTCAGTCATATTCGAAAGTGCAGGAACGAACAAGAGGAGAGCTTTGTTCTGGCACCATACTCGATATGAATAAATTAAGCGAATCTCTCTCTCCCTCTCTCTCTCTCTCTCTCTCTCTCTCTTTCTATCTTTTTATGCGAGCGAGTTAAAAGGTAAAGATGGAAGTGAAAGAGAGAAAGAGAGAAAACGTAAGTAGATGGGTGTTTTCAATGCTCGAGAAATTTACCAAAGAAACGTGCTTTAGTTCGGGGCTAGAAATAATTATTATCCTGGCAACAATGGCGAGTGTATATTCAGGTTACTAAATCTTTGATGAAAACGATTTATGCTATGCACTTACATTCTAACATACACACGTATAGAAATACATAAATATATATATATGCATACATGTACAAGTTGAGAAAAAGCTGTGAGAGGTTGAAATTTACCTACTCGAAAACACGCGGAAAAAATTCAAGATAGTAAGTAGTAATTTTTAAAGTAGTATTAGTAATAGCAATAATACTATAGTATAAGTAGTAGTAATGCTAATAGTAGAAGTAGAAAAAGTAATCAAGCGTGAGAGAACGCCGTAAAGATGTCGCGTGAGAAAAATACTTTGATTCAGTTGTTGATAAAGCTGTTGTGATATTTATTTACTCTTAAAATGCGAATAAATAAGACGAAGGGATATACGTAGAAATAAATTTAAAGTAAGTAGAATCAATGAGAGACCACCAATGATGAAATACTATTTATTTGTTTGTTCATTCATTCATTCGTATTAGAAAAAATAATATCGAGAATTATATTTCTCAAATTCATTTTAGAAATTATATTCGTAAAAAGATTAGATTTAAGTGTAGGATAATTTATAAATGTACAAAAAAAAAAAAAAAAGAGAGAGATTGATGAGAATAAAAGGGATCGATTGAAGGGAGAAAAAGAGAAGGGAATTAATGTGTCATCGAAGGAAATAACGTGCAATTTTCGTCCTATTTCCGTCTGATGCGGGCCCTCCTTCTCCATTCTCGAAATATGGAAATCCCAAGGACGAGCTCTTTATTATTCCGTCTCTTAGGTTGATCGATATAGTGGAATCCAAGGAATTATCGGTAAGTAAAAAATGAGCCTGGGTTATAGAGACAGAAAACACACCCACATACACAGAGATCTACAAACATATAGAAAAAGAGAAGGAGACAGGAGTTGTAAGAGGAAGCGTTGAAAATTTCTAAAGCATAAATTCGGAATCACGGTTAGGAGGACAATCGGAATGGAAATGGTAGAAGAAAAAGCATTGCTGGATTGTTTCCAGGCCATTTTATTATACGTTCTTATGATTTTTCTGCTTTTATTTTGCGACGAGTTCTCGCAAGATATCAGAAAAATTTTCTTAACCTCGAAATTTCTTCTTCTTCTTCTTCTACTTCTACTTCTACTTTTTTTTCTTCTTTAGCGAGGACGAAATGTTTACACGGTTAAAAATAACTTTTTCATTTTTATAGTGAATTTTGAAATATTATCATTACTTTTTTGATTGTATGTATATGTGTGTAGGTGTAAGCTATCCATGTACATTATTTTTGTTGTACACATCTTTTGTTCTATTCGAATATTACACCAGATACGTTCTAATCCATAAGGCCATTTGAGATAGATGGAAAATATATCTTCGAAACAATGGATATCCCTCTCTGTCTCTCCGTTTTTCTTTTTTTTTTCATTTTATATCTTCTATACCTAACATCCCCTTTTTCCATATATCACAGAGTTCCTCCCTCTGCTCGCCAAAACAAAAACAAAAAAAAAACAAAAAAACAACTGAACGATGCAAAGAAATACTGACTGAGCGAGTGAGATGCGACGCCACCGGTGTTTTCCATTTTTCTGAGAGAGAAAAATCTTGCATTGTTCTTTTCTTTGTCCTCTCCGGAAAGAAAAATGTATCAAAAAGACGAACGTTTACACTCTCTCTCTCTCTCTCTCTCTACGTGGTTTTCTTCGTGATTTTTCTCTACCTTGCTGTATATATATATATGTGTGTGTGTGTGAGTATGTTTCCTTATCATTTTTGTATTTCTCTTGTATTTCTAAAGAAAATGTCGGTATCGTGTATAAGACGAAAAAAGAAAACAATTCTTGGATAAACCTAATATATAGACAATTCATTATTTTTTGGATTGACGTCGAATCTTCGAAACATTTATCAAACATTGTGATAAAATAAATTCAATAATTTGTAATTTAATTAATGGAGATAAAAATGATGAAAAGAATTTTCATGAATTGTCTTAGAAGAAGATAAAAAATGTTCGTCTAATGATTCCGTTCTTTTTAATTTTTTCCAAAGAAAAATAAAAAATCATTTTTATTATCAACGCAATCCTTAGGCACACAACAAACTTTCCTTTTTTTTTTTTGTATTCTTTCATTTTTCTCCTGATATTCTTTATCTCTTGTATTTCCCTTTTTCTTTCCTTTCTCTTGTGATCTACTTAAAAAGGGTCACCGTATATGACGAACAAAACGAAGAAGGTTTCGCTTAATCAGCTCTCCTCTTCTACCCTAACCACCATCCTCTTCAATTCTTCTACACCTCGGCACCCTCGAAGGAGAAACTTTTCAATAAGTTTCCTTTCTTGATGTAGTTTTCAAGATTCTAGAGAAAAATGAATAAAATGAAAACAAACAAAAAGGTTAAAAAAGATCGAAATATAATACGATAAAAGAAAATTTGCGATACTTTTTCCTATCTCGGCGAATACCAAAATCCTAATCTATAAAGTTAGCGTTAATAATATCCGGAAAAGAAAAGAAAAGAAAAAGATAGAAAAAATTGAATAAAAAAGGTCGATGAGAAGTAATATAAGGTAAAACGAGAAGAAGGAGTCTAAAAATTAACTGAATCGCTGCAACGTTACCTGGGTTATACCCTACCGGGAAAAACGTAATTTTAGGATCAATATCATGCCTTATGCAACGGGCAAACATTCATAGCTATCATCCTGACAACAGCTACAATCATACCGGAAGTAAAGAAAACTTGCTTTTGGAAATTATAACAAATTATAAGAAATTAAATGATTAAATTTCATTCGATTCATCAGATTCGATTAACCATAAGTTTATATATATATATTTTTCTTTTTTTCAGTTTATTTCTCGTCGTAAGTGGTTCGATATATATATTCGAATAGTTAGCTTATTGAAATGCATCCTTCGAGAACGCATATATAAATCTAAGTAGACAAGTATACATATACTTATGTAAGACGTTGGAAAAGTTCGTAGTTGTCGGTCAGTCAACCTGATACGAAGTTTAAAAAATTCAACACCGACACGTCGATAACGATCGACGACCTATGCCCAGGGTTATAGATGACCCTAGTCTTGAAAGACCACCCTCGTTCAGCAAAAAGACCTTATGTCAGTCTTCGCTTTGCCACTATCCCCTCATCTTTCTTTTTTTTTTCTTTTTCTTTTTCTTTTTCAACAAAAAGCAAAAAAAAAACTTCAATCCTGTTATTTCTTTCATCTCGCACTTATTCCATTTTGTTTTTAAACATTAAATACAAATTCTTACAAAATTATTTTTCTTTCCTTTTCTTTTCTTTTTAAGCTATGAAAAAATTACATTGTCCCGCTTATTTTCGTTTCCCCATCACGTTTCTTTTCGTGTTTTTTTCTCTCTTTCTCTCTCATGAATGTGTATGCGTGTGTGTTTCTTCAACGGTAACGATTCCCCATGGAGATCTCTAGGAACACTGTTACCACCGATATTTTACCCTTACGTCTACGTGGCTACTCGCAGTATGCACTCGGTGCAATGACTTTCGAACACGCGAGTAAAATTATTACCACGGGATAACGTTAATAGACCTTTCGCGATAGAAATTGAACTTACATGACCTCTTCCTTACGTTTAAATTGTTCTTATTTTTTAAGTGAAAACTTCTTTAGAATCGCGCGCATTGTGATTTTTAAAACTCGATAAAACGCAATCGATGAAACGGAAATGAGGAAACGATATTAAAAAAAGAAACAAACATATATATCTATAGGATTTCGCATGCGATAGAATGAGATAGAATAAAGTATACAATATACAGTTTATAATATATAATTATCTTTCATAAAAACATCACCGAGACAGGTTAATTTTATTTTTTCAATGCCGGACAATTTATTTGCATATCATTCGAAAGGGCCTTTTAATTTTCTTTACAATGATACAATTTATTTTGAATTTAAATAAATAAGTTCGAAGAAAGTACATTTCGAAAGTTTCACATGAGATAAAATATAAATGAAATCGTGAAAAGAATTAAGAAATTCGTTAATTATTAATGTTGAAAATTTGTTATCGCTTGTTTCTATGCAGATTTGATTTAGAAATGATATTTTAATATCTATGAAAATGTGATAACAACAATTTGTTTGTCCGTGGAAAATAAAACAAAATCGTCAAAAGAACATTGGTGATTTTCATTTTTGTGCATAGAATACGCAAAAAAACGTTTGATTGGAAAATCCTCAGACACTTTGTATATATATACCTGGTATAATAAATGTAATTAAGGATACGTATATCAAATGAGTACCCTTGCAACCGTACGATAAAATAACACGCAGGGCTAAACTTCTATACTCGATCGAATGGTACCTTCAACGATAACGATTAGCAACACCACCACCCTACATCACCCCTTATACCACCACTAACAACTATCACTTCCATCATCGTAAAACTTTAGCATGTGAACATGAGAATGTGTGGTTTGAGTTTTAACCCGAACCAATAAGGCGCGGCTATCTTTTAAGGAAAGTCTATCGTTTCTAGGAAACACGATAATATTAGAAATCAAAGTTACCTTTATAATTCTCAACGAAAATAATTCGTAGGAAAAAGGGGGTGTACTTTAATTTAATATGATTCATTCAAATCTATTCACTCTTTCTCTTAGTATAAAAAATATTTACAGAAATTTTTCAAAGAAATTGCAAAGATGCACAATTTACAGCATTGCATTCTCTGACATTTTATGAACTTTACATGCTAATTTTATAACTCGAAAAAGTACTCTACGCGTAGACAA